CATCAAAATGGTGCAGCAGTGCTGGAAAAACTTAGTTTGAGTGCTATCACATGTGAGCAGTACAACGGCACTTCGGATCAAAACGGACGAGTAGGGCACACCATGAGTGGCGCGGGCGAGCCCCAGCGCCGACACACCCATAACTCACCAACCTCCACAATGTATACCGGCTTCTGGCTGCTCCCCCACTCCGACCCATCCCTGTGCGAAACGAAACACAGTAGCACAAAGGCAACGAAGGTGCTGTAAAAGGTTTTGAATCAAACGTGGTCACAGCGTGTTAGATAGCTTCAAGCTGGCACCTGGAAACCTACATTGTGCTTCACGGCCAATGCTGTGAACTCACAAGGGGTTCCATCACATACCAACAACAGCCGCTGCAGGGGCGCGGACATCTACGGGTCAAATGCGTGTCACCAAGTGTTGCTCTCTGGTACGTTGTTCAGAATAGGTCGAGAGCATACAGCCGCCCGGTAAAAAAGCCAACCGTGCCCGTGGCATTCTCGAGAAAACAGGCCGACGCTACACTCAAACTGTCGGCAGAACAAACTCGCCCAATCAACAGACGCATCATGTAGCTCACGCACGTCAGCGGACAAAAACGCGGGCTCAAAGCCAAGGCAGATCAAGCGCGACCCAAGGAAAGGCTGAGACCAACCACGCCAAGAGCATCAGAAACACGCCGCAGAATGCAACAATACGGAATTTTATCTCGCCTCCCAAGGTGATCTCTGAGGAAACTCGCGATGGAGCGCGCGTAGGCCTGGGCAATGAAGCAGTTGGACGTCACGAAGTTGGGCACCACGCACTCCTGCCAGCACTTCACCTAATGCCACGACCGAGAAAAAAACTCAGAGTTGTGCCGCCCAGCGAAATGTTGGTGTCGTCTCAATGTATTCTGGCGCCAGTCAGTCTACGCACCTCTCGGTGCACGTGTAGTGGAAATACCATGGTATAAATAGTCACGGGTTAGGATGCATGTCATGTAACTACCACGGGCTTCGAGGGAGCACAACGTAGGAATGCTGGGTTTGGGGGGAAACCGCTGCACTACACGCGCGCGCAGAGAAAACGGAACGTTTTAGGCAGACGCGAAATGCTTCTCTGCTACGCCACGCCAGGGGTTTGCATGGGGGGGCAACGGGTTGGCACCGGGGGCGCCGTTTTCCCCGTTGTCGATTGCATACCCCCCCCCGCGTGGAAGCAAGGGCGCGGTGCGGACTTGCTGTCCGTCACAGTCAGGGCATGCAGCACCGTCAGGTCGTTGGGTTGCGATACTGTAGTCGGCTTAACGAAAACTTGCTTTCCTGGTTGTAGACTGTGTTGTGAGGAAAACCGCAATCGTCCCCTCCTCTCCATTTGACAAGACACAGTATGGTTGGTACCACAATTATCTGCGCAAATGTCATTCCCAACAGTCTGACACACACATCTAGTGATGTCGTCTTGTTTCCCCGAAAGCTACGCCAATCGACACGGCGGTGGATCACGCAAATTGGGCTGCGCTCTTGTGGCCAACGCAATCGTACGGCGTGCGTCACAGAGGCTGCTTCGTGCGTTCGTGTGAAAGTGCGGTTTACGGATGTACGCACCTCGCTCTTTTCGTAGAACTCCCGCTGGAGTTTCCACAACGCCGTCTCTGAAAACCTTCAAGGTAAGACGCAAGGGGAGGGAGGAGAACACGGACGAGCGACAGAGAGAGAGACCCCGAGAGAGAGAGAGAGACAGAGAGAGAGAGAGACAGACAGACAGACAGGCAGGCAGACAGACAGAGAAAGAGGGAGAGAGACAGACAGACAGGCAGGCAGACAGAGAAAGAGGGAGAGACAGACAGACAGACAGACAGAGACCCCGAGAGTTAGAGAGAGAGGGAGAGAGAGGGAGAGAGAGAGAGAGACAGGGAGGGAGACAGAGACATGAGCGAGAGAGAGAGACAGAGACACAGAGAGAGAGAGGGGGGGGGGCAGGGGCGGGGGGAGGGAGTTAGCAGGGTAGAGGCGAGGTACGCGACAAAGGCGACGGCCTCCGTGGTCGTCAAGTGGCTGGTTCGAGTCCAGCCTGTGCCAACTTCGTAATAATGTCTAAGGCCATTTCTTGCGGTTGTCTTTTTTTATGATCTTTTTCTTTTTTCCTTCTCAAAAAAAGACAACTGGCCGTAGAAGGTCTTCTTACAATGTCTTTTTTCCTCAAAAAAAGATCGCCAGAAAAAGACAACCCGTTTTGGACAGCCCATCCTGTCTTTTTTTGGGGCAGTTTTGGACAAGTGGAGGCTGTCCAAAACTGTTGTCTTTTTTTGGTCACAACCACATCACTCGTACCTAGAAACTTGAATCTCTCGACGGCCCACCGCAAAGTCTAACGGTGGTCACACGAGTTGTGTCATGTTGCTGGCTGGTACAGAGTCGGTGGCACCGGCGGTAGCCAATGTTTTGTCAGTGGGCTGGACCAGGTGGACAACAACCCGATGTGTGCGGCAAACAAGAGGCAAACAAACCGAGAGAGCCTGGACGCAGCAGCGGTGGGTCATTTTTCGTGTACTGTCAACCTTGCGAACCCAACTTTTGGGCGTCCTATAGCCTCCTGGTCTGTATCAATCATCACACAAGACGAACCATACGCACAGCTCGTGGCGCATGCCTTTATCATCGCTGTTGCTTGAGTGGGTGGCGAGGGAGTACTGGCAAACAAACCAAAGTTGCGACACGGGCAAAAGAGCGAAAAAAGTTGCTTGAAGATGCGGCGGATCATTTTTCCCGCTTGTCCACCACTCTCGCGCTCACAATTTCTGAACGTCCTATAGCCTCCTGGTCTGTGTCAGCCACCACACAAGACGGACCATACACACAGCTCGTGGCGCATACCTTTGCCATCGCTGTTGCTAGAGTGGGTGGCGAGGGAGTACCGGTAAACCAAAGTTTTGATAGGGGCACAAGAGCAAAAAAAATGGTTGCTGGCGCGGTGGGCATTTTTTCAGCGTGCTGTCGACTCTCGGCACCTCCATTCCCGTGCCTCCTATCGCCCTGTGGTCTCTGTCAGCCGCCACCCAAGACGGACCATACACACAGCTCGCGAGGGATAGCTTTACAGTAGGCGCTGCTTCACTCTGTGAGGAGATATCACCGAAAAACCACTTCGGTGGGAAGGTGCATGTATGTGTGACAGCAGCCGTTGCAGAGTCTGTTTTTTTTTGGTTGGGTGAAAAAAGGATCGACCAACACCGTAAGAAGGGGGTCATCTTTTTTGTAGATCCCTTTCTGGGTTGTCCGAAAGGGGGGAAAAAAGATCTGCGAAAAAAGAACCGCAAGAAATGGCCTAAGAGGCCGCAATAGCTCTATTTTTTCCAAAGACCGCAATACCTTTATGTTTTCCATCATGTCTCATGTATCCATATTTTTAGAGGCGTTTTAAACAGCAGCTTTTTCGCTACTCTTTCCAGACTCCGTGAGCTGTCAAGTGGTACAAACGGGCGCGCAAGGTAGGTACATACATCCCGTTGATTGCATTGGATACCCCACACCCACCACGGATCTTCACAGCTCGAGTACTCTGCAGTCTGCAGCAACCCAGAGTGATCTTCAACGCTCGATTACTCTGCAGCAACAACAATGGCGATGCCGATAATGACGGCGTTGGAGCTCTTCGAAAGGTCCCAATTGACTCAGAAATTCATCTAGGCATAGGCATTATTTTCGTCGTGGAGTGCATGTATCCATAGATAGAGCAGTCGACGTTTGAAAATCGATCAAGGGGGAGTGGTATCTTACGCAACGTACCACACCCCCGGGACCAATTTTCGAAGCTCGATATCTCGGCAAGAAGAGCAGTGACGGTGCCAAAAATGGCGGCGTTGGAACCGTCTCGTCGAGAGCTTTTCGAAAACGTACTTCCTACTTCAATGTCGGCATCCTCTTCGTCGTGGAGTAAAGGGGCTTTGAAAATCGGTCCGGAGGGTATGATATCTTACGCAACATACGGCGGTATGTGCAGGTATGTAGTACGTCCAGTGGAAAACTCCACGTGTGGAACAGGCCCAAAGAAGAGACACCGGTTTTGGCTAGCGACCAATATAGCGACCAATATCTGATACAGCATCGCATGGTGAAGGGTACGACAGGTGGCCGAGCACCTGAGAGCAACTCCGACAAGCGCACCAGCGTTGGTCAGCAGGAACAAAATACTTCATTCTCATGGGTTTTCATCCGTGTTGTCTGCCAGCTAGCATTCCGCTCAACTTAAACACAAGGCAGAACAAAAGCCAACAGTTGTCTCTTTCCGCCACCACCTACCTCTACCCTCTTGGTTTCCGACAAGTCAAGGAAAACAGCGACGTACCCACAGCAGCAGGAACACCGCTGCGCTGCACCGACTTCCGAAACAACACATCACTGCTGTGCACATCACTGCAACACATCTATATCTGAGAGCACTTGCAACCGCACCTCTTCTTGTCATCAATCACCGAACGAGCTGCCGGCTCGGTCATCACAGCCCCTCTCACTCCCCAACTGCTGTCTGCTGCTCTCCACACAGCTCCTTGCTGCAGCTGTGTTGTGTTTCGTTGTTGCTTGTTGCTTGCCCAGAAGGGGCGCGAATCTGGCAAACATGGGGGGGGGGGGGGGGGCTTCGGGGGGACATCTTTTCCCTGCCCGTCACATCATGGGTCTCAAAACCTGTTGGGCCAAAACTGGAAAAATGGACAAAGGAAAAAAAAAAAAAAGGAATCCCCAACCGGAACTTTTCCTTCCTGTAACACTTAT